GTCTGTGGTTCGTGCGCTGTTATATTGGGGCATGCGAGATAGTGCATCTGCCAGGAAGTTCTTTCGTCCTGGTAAATGTTTGAGCTTAAATTGGAATTGGTGAAAATGCTGGGACCATCGGGCTTGTTTGGGATTGAGTTTCCTGGAAGTTTTCAGGGCTTCTAAATTTTTGTGATCAGTCCACACCTGGAAGGGGATTTTGTTGCCTTCCAGGAACTGTCGCCACGTGAGTAATGCCCAACGTATTCCATATGCCTCCTTCTCCCATACGGGCCAGCGCTGTTCTGTTTCCGTGAGTTTCTTGGATGTATATGCACAGGGTTGCAATACTCCACCATCATTTTCTTGTAATAGAACAGCCCCCACTGCCACATCACTTGCATCTGCCTGTATTACGAAGGGCTTGTCCATGTCTGGGTGCCTTAGTACTGGTTCGGCAGAAAAAAGTCTCTTTAGTCTCTCAAATGCTGCTTGGCACTCCATTGTCCATGTTAGCGGCTGGCTAGGTTTTACTGAGGATGCTCCCTTTGTTTTTAGTAAGTTAGTGAGGGGCAAGGCTATCTGGGCAAATGAGAGGATGAATTGGCGGTAAAAGTTTGCAAAGCCCAGGAAACTTTGTAGTTGCTTTCTTGTGTGGGGTGGTGCCCAATCTAATACTGCTTTGACCTTCTCTGGGTCCATTTCAATGCCCTGGGAGGATAGGCAATAACCTAGGTAGTCTATCCTTTCCTGGTGGAATTCGCATTTTGAGAGTTTGGCATATAGGTGGGCGGCTCACAGTTTCTTTAAAACCGCTCTGACAAGGTTGACATGTTCCTCTTTTGTTTCGGTGAAGATAAGAATGTCGTCCAAGTAAACAAGGACCCCCTTAAACAGGTGCTCCCTTAGAAAGTCATTGATTAATTGCATAAAGACTGCAGGGCCCCCTTGTAATCCAAATGGCAAGACTTTGAATTGATAGCACCCCATGGGGCAGTTAAATGCAGTCTTCCATTCGTCCCCTTCCTTAATTCTCACACGATAGTAAGCTTCCCTTAGGTCTAGTTTAGAAAAAAATTTCCCTTTCGAGAGGTGTGACAGCATGTCTTTCATGAGGGGTAGAGGGTATAGGTTGCTTTCACTGATTGTATTCAGGGCCCTATAATCCACGCATAAATGTAAAGAGCCATCCTTCTTCTCTCTAAAAAGGACCAGGGCAGCCACTTTAGGCATGGCTGGCTCAATGAAACCTCTCTCTAGGTTTTTTTTTTATGAATCTTTCCATTTCCTCCTTCTCCTTTGGGCTCATGGAGTATAATCTGGGCTTCGGGAGTTTTGCCCCTGGCTTGAATTCAATGGTACAGTTGTGGGTCGGTGGGGGGGAAGCTCATTCGCCCTCTCCTCACTGAAGACTTCAGCAAGGTCCCTATATTCCTCTGGTATTTCTGTTAATCTTTTTTCCTCTCCTATGGATGCTTTTTCTATTCTTGATTCTGGTAGCCTCCCTTGGGGTTTTAAGTCCATAGGGTCCCCCTTCGGGAATTTGATTTCTGTCGTCCTCCCATTTACCCAGGGGTTCCATTTTTTCAACCATTCCATCCCTAGAATCATTGGGCATTCCATACCTGGGGTCACCACAAACGTTAAGTCCTCTTCATGGTTGCCCAGGGAGAGGTGTATTGGCAGAGTGGCTAGGGTAGCTGGCACCCCCCCTGCTATGGATCCATCTAGCTGGCCAAATGAGATTGGTTGTTCCAGTCTCCTTGATGGGATGCCCAGATTCCCCACTAGTGTTGGGCTAATGAGGCAGCGGGTGCAGCCAGAGTCTATTAAGGCTTTCACCTTCACAGCTTCGGGCATGGGGGGAATTAATATAGTCACTGTCTTGAGGATGGGTGTGATGTGTCCACTTACCAGGGGTTCGCCCTCCGAGCTGTCATCTGAGGCATCCACCGGCCCTGTGGTGTAGGCTGGAGTTCTTTCCCCTTGGTGAGCAGAAGTGGGGGGTTCCGCAATTTCCATCATTCTCATGGCAGTTTCTTTTGGCTTAGCTGAAGACTTTCCGGATTTGTTGGTTGGGGATCTGTCTGGGTTGTGCTGGGAGGCTTTGGAGCGGCATTCTACAGCTCGATGCCCTTCTCTTCCGCACCTGAAACACCCCATTTGCTTCTTGACTGTAGCCGATTTCACCGGTTCATGTGTCAGCTCAGGCGGGGGGGCGGCTCCATTGTTTTCCTTGGTGGTGTCTCTTCAATATGTCGATCTCTGCTTCTTCTGCCAAGATGTATCATTCCTCAACTTGGTGTGGGTCCCCTCGGGGCAGGCAAGCGTCATATAGATCATAATTTAGTCCGTCTTTGAAATGGCTAAGGAGGATGTCTTCTGGCCAATTCAGTTTGCTGGCAATGGCCCGGAATTCTTGTGTATATTCAGCCACCGGGCGTTTGCCTTGGCTCATCGTTTTTATCCTTTCACGGGCTTTGCAATCAGCCAGGGGGTCTTCAAATCGTCTTCTCAAAGAGGACATGAAATGGTTGAAGTTACTGAGTTCTGGGGCATTGGAGTCATGCAAGTTCACCACCCAATCTGCAGCCGGTCCATCCAGGGCAGATTGCACGATCAGGATGCGGGCTTTGTCGCTGGGAATGTCCTGCCCGTATTCCTCCATGTAGCTGAGGACTTGGGTTAGGAAAAACCCCAAGCGTGTTGGCTCCCCTTTGAATTTCACCTCCAACGGTGGACGTCTTGGGATTGATCGGTGCCTCCGTTGTTGGTGGTAGTGTCTTCTGTCCAGATTGCCATCTGTGGTCCGGTAGGGGGTGGGGATTACTGGATCAGTAGATGTCCCCGGGGTTGCAGGTTCCACATCCCCCTCGATGTCTCTCCCTTTGCGGCTCCAGGAGCTGGGGCGGCCATAGGGCTCAGGATTCTCCTCTCTTAGGGAGCTGAGAGTTCTCTTCATCAGGTCAATAGCTTTCTCTAGGATCCAGTCTGAGTACGGTGCCCAGCTCTCTCCCTCTTCACTTGCGTGCAGGGATTTCTCCATCTCCTGCTTCCATTCTGGTTGCTTGGTCCCCCGTCTCAGGGTCACATTTCTTGATTCCTTTCCCCACTCACTTTTCTTTCCAACACCCATTGACCAGCGAGGCTTGTGGTCCCGTGTCTCCACCACTTCTTCTCCTGAGGACTCTGACTTCTCGGATTCCAACATCTGGCAAGGTTCCAATTTGGTCAGCGGCTCTCTTTCCAGGGAGTTTTCCCCCTTTCTTGCTCCATTGTCTGACATGGTAATTTTTTGCAAAATCCCCCAGCAAGGGTCTCCCTTCCAGGTGGATTAATTTTGCAAGTCCTGTCTAATGTAAGGACCCACCCTACTTTGCATCTTAAGAAGACAGAACTCTTGGAATAATTCTTCCAACAGGAATCCTTTATTAAGAGAAAATGGTTGCAGGCGTTCTAGACAGGACTTGGGGTTCAAGCTCTCCCATTCGAGGTTTTAAGGGGTTCCCCAGTAGTCCCACCCAATCACCCCCCTTTTCCAGTGACAGTTTCAGGCATCACAATCCCACCACTTTTTTCCTTTCTGCCGGCTGGATGGAGACTTCAGATAAACTACATGAAAGGTAAATAGCCTCCTTTGTTATGATAGGGCCTTTTGGTGCTAACCACATTCAAACCCTTTGAAGTTGTACCAAAGGAAGTGAGGGCCATAAAGCCCCTTTGTTCACCCCCCTCTCTTTCTTTATGACAGAATCCAGAGAGGGCAGAAATGGGGTTTTCTATAATTGATAACTGGAGATGAAGTATAATTGGATTCTGACAGGGGGTCTTTTTTAACTGCTAATATTATTAAATACCCGCACATATATCAAGACTACCTGTATCCTCAAATTCTTCAAGTGGAGCCATACTGACTGCTGATATACAGATGGATTTTTGGATAGATTTGTGAAGGTTTGACTTCACCTGCTTCAGTATTTTTCATATTAAGTACCTCTCCAAATTTCCAAATATAAAAACAAGGTTCAGTAACCTGTAGCCCCATAACCATAAAATCTTGCTGTCCTCCAGGTTATTATTGCTGAAAACTGGTGGAACAGTTTCACCCCATTCCAAGTAAGAAAAACCTCTCCCCTCCCCCACATTAAGTGAAATCTTGACAAGTTTAAGATGGCTAATTACTGTTTTACATTCTTATACAATGACAGAAAAAGATAGGAATAAATAAATGTCTGGATAGCCAAAGTATTGTCAATAATCTTCCTGAATGCCAATCTAATTCTTGTTGGCTTGTAGTGGATTCTTCTGCATTAATCTTTCTCAATTAATTCCTGTCACCACCTGCATTTCTGCGCTTATTTTTTCGCTTTCAATTTTTACTATATTTTTTTCATCTTCCTTAGTCTCATTTCTTTTCTATCTCCCTGCAACTAATTTCCCTACATTAATTATTTGGAGAACAGGTGTAAGAAGTTGATGACATATTTGCAAATATATTATACTTAAAACTGTCTGCACAAATCTCCATGAAATATACACGTGACTAAACATGAGAACTAACTTGGGAATATGCCTATGAGCTAGGCTTCCTGCGCTATATGTAGAAACAGATGAAATCAGAAGCAAATAATTGCATGCTTTATCAAAGATCTCTTATTTTCCAATATTACTTAACTTTGAATTAAAAAAGCAAAATAATGATAATACTCATAACATTGATATCCTAAACTGTCAAAGGTTTATTGATAGAGCATTCACTTTTTCCCTCTTCTTTATATCTATTACTCTTGGGTGTCTCAATAATAAAAGAATGTTAAGAATGTAACCACATACATATAATTTAATTGAAATAAAAAGAAGCAAATTATAGAGTATAACTGCATAGACACATATATAGAGATAAGGCTGGCAAATAATAGACAAATATCTGCTCTGATTAAAAAAAATATTTTCTTTCTCTTTAAAATGTATAATTTGTGATTAGTATAAAATATAATAGTCTTCTAAATTGGCATGCTTACCCTCATTACTAAGTGCTCCCCATCCTGTAACCACAGCATCAATATTATATGGAATCTTTTCATTTGAATCTGGGAGACAAATTCGGTGAATAGCATTTGTAAACTCCACACTTTTAGTCAACTGCAGAACAGCAATATCATGTTCATGACCTGCATTCTGGTATTTTTCATGAATTATAATTGTTTTGACAAGCCGTATCATTAGAGAAGGTCTTAAATAGGTTCCAAAGCTAACTGTCCATTTATGTGGATTTTTTGCTCTGAAAACAAACAAAAGAGAAATATCACTGTGAATTATTTGAGTTCTACCAAAAGGAGATTACTGAAAAATAAATCAATAAAATATATTTGCATAATAAATCACAGGAAATGATGTATGTTAAATCTGTTCCCATGTAATGGATTCAAATTAGCATTCTAATATTCATGGTTACACAGAAGATCTTCAAAATAGATGTGCAATGTATCGTGAAGATTCAGAGTCCAACATTGGCTGGTATGCATCATTGTTTATCCCTTCCCCATGATCCCAATGTCTGCCATGCTAAGCATTTAAACTCAAACCACATATTCCTAAATCCACATTGGCTGGAACATAAGAAGGAAGCTGCTTATAAGAGACCTAGTGTGCAAAAAGAATGGCTTATTATGGTTTCTTTAGTCTTCCTCAGTGCTTTTTTCTAAAAAAAAAAAAAAGGTGCCGGAACTTACACATGTCATACAACCCGCCTTGCCTACCCTACAAAGTTCCATCCAAAAAAGGTGCCGGAACTCCGTTCTGGGCATTCTATGAGAAAAAAAGCCCTGATCTTCCTATACCCCTCACATTCCTAGGCAGAGCCTTGTAGAGGACAACATGCTAAGAAAAAACATATTGTCAATGGAAAGAAATTTCAGAAAGGGAAAATGTGAAGTATGAAGACATTTCCCTGGAGATGGTTATTTCCTCAAGGAGGCAAATGGAATTCTGCATTTACCTCACAATATGTGTTTCTAGTGAAGGCCATCTTCTTCAGGCCCTCTCCATTATTATATATTTTGAATTGTTTAATTTTAGATGTCAATCAAAGCTATTTAAAATACTAATTAAAATGAACTTCCGGTGGTGACGGCCGTGGCGATGGCGGCTTTCTTCAGCCGTCCGCCCTGGGATGTGTCAAAGCCAGCTGAGACAGCGAGCAACAGCTGTCTCGCAGCTTGGAACCTCTCTCCCCAGGTGAAGGAGAGGAGGTGAGCTTTCCTCAGATAGTAGTAGAGCTCCCTGAGGCCCCAAAGTTTTCTTTTTTGGTGGTCAGAGGGTGAGCTCCCAGGAAATCTGGGGTGTTCTCCACATTCCAGGATGCCTCTGCCCTGATTTTTCCAGGGCAAAGCTAGACGCTGCTTCCGTATCTGCACTTAAAATGAACTTGTGAGTAAAATTTAAAGTAGACAGAGCTGACCAGGAGAGACTAAAATGGGGATTATCTCGGACTTTAACTCTGGAAAAGAACTTATCTTCTCCTTCCTTTAATTAAGAGTGGTGAAAAATGGCACTGAGATGTTGATTCATTGAGTGAAAGGACCAGAACTTCTACTTGGAACAATGTAACAGATTTTGTATTTGTATAAATTGCAAGAATCTTCTTTTTTTCTTTTAAGGGGGCTTTTGTCTTTTTTTCCCCTTCTCCTTTTTTCTTTGGGGGGGGGGGGTATTTGTTGATTTTATAAGATTTTAGCAGACTTTTTATAAGTGGCCTTAAAAATAAAATGGCTTCAAAGCGTCTCGGAGCTTCTGTTGCTTCTAAAGCCTTGATCTTCCCGGTAATGCAGACAGCTCAGCAAGCTAAGTCTAAGTTTCCACCACCTTTTCACTGTCTCCAGCATGTATACTTAAAGATTTACAGGATGCCTTGGAAAAAAAGGCACGACAGATTAAAGAAGAGATGGAGGTTTTTACTGAAAATAAATTCATGAGATTGACAGAGGATATTGTGTTTGCGTTTCAAAAGTTTGTTGGTCACATAGATCTTCTGGATGCACGTATTGATGATGTTTGGAAAATTTTGAAAAACTGGAAGATCGAATTGACAAAGTGGAAAATAATGTGGAAACAATATAGGATGAAGTTACTATGTTATAATACAAAAACATGGAATTTGCTTTAAGAATAAGGGGAATGAAGGAAAATATTCAAGAGGATTTGAGACAAGTGGTGGTAAAAGATATAGCTCTTATTTTGGGGGCTGAGCCTGAAGAAATATTGAGAGAGACGGAAAAAGTTTTTAAGGTTAATTCTAGGGTTATGAGACAAAGGAATTTGCCACGAGATGTGGTTATCTATTTTTCTAGGAGATCACTTTGTAATAAAATTTTACAGGCTTTCTATAAGCAGAGATTTCAAATTGCAGCTCAAGATGTTATAATTTTAAAAGAAATACCTTCAAAAATTCTTAGAAAAAGAAAGGATTTTGCTTTTTTGGTTGATGAGCTCAAAAAACGCCAGGTTCGATTCAGATGGGATATACTGGTTGGAATAGTCCTGAATTATGCGGGGATATATTATAGACTTAATACAATGTCAAAGGCGAAAGATTTTTACATTTCGGTTTTGAAGGTGGGTTCTCCATTATCTTTATGACCTGAGATAATAGAAGAAAACTTGGAAGAGCAGTCAGTTGAAAGTGCTATGCCATTGGATGTGGGAGACAAACAGGCTGAACCTTTGCAGCAGTCTCTTGAAACAGAAGATTTTTTAAAGGAACTGAGAATGACTCGTGCAGCCTATAGACGTAAATTAAAAGAACTGCAGAAGATGGATGTTGGAATAAAGAAAAGGAAATGATGAACTTTTGTAGTAGTTTTTTGAGATAGAAGATGTTTTAAAGGAATAGTGAATGATTTGTATTTAGTATGTTTTAAAACAGTGAATGATTTGTGTAGTATGTAGATGTAAAGTAAAAGAATAATAGAAGGTGTTGATTTAGTGGAAAAGTTTAAATATTTGGGAGTATATATATTATAAATTCTTAATTTGAAGTGAAAAATAATTATGAGATATTATGGGTAAATGTGTAAAAGAATTCAAAATTTTAATAATCTCTGTTGGTGAGAATTTTAGAAGATGAATGGTTTGCTGAAACTTTTTAAGTAGGAGGGTATTAATATACTTTCTTAGGGGTAAAAAGCAAAGAGCCAATTTTATCAAATGTAAGTTTGTTGATTAGCTTATATTGGAGGGAAAATTTTGTGTTTATTATGGATGAATGGTTGTTTAAAAGAAATATACACCTCAGCGAGGTGAAGATGGATAAATTATATGTAGAGTAAATATGGGTTATGATATGGGTTTAAAATGCATTATGCAGATTATGAATTATTTATAGTTTTTAATTTGGAAATGCTTATATTGTTAATTTTTTTCCTTTTTTGTATTTGAGTTGAAGTATATTATCGATTTTATTATTTGTATAAGTTGGATAAGTTTATTTAGAATTTGTTTGTTTATTTGTAACCCTGTAACCAACTCTGGGAAGTGAGGGGGGAGGGAGGGGGTTATTTTAGGGTGGGATATTGTTTAAAACTTGTATAAAACTTTTCAATAAAAAATACTAATTAAAATATATCATAATTATTCTCATTTGGAAACTTACTCTCTGAAGCAATGTGCTGCAGATAGAAGCCATGTGTTGCTGATCAATGTTGCACCACAACGATGGATGTTGTTTCGCTGGAGACTGGCTTGCCATGGCCATTCCCCAGATGATACTCCTCCAGTTATTCTTGATGATCCTAATGATCTGTTATATCGAAGCCCACAAACTATTAAAGCCAAGGGGAAAAAGTTTTTTCAGCTTAATAAGTATGATATACATTGGTCATAAAACTGATCAGAATTGTAACAACACAGACAAATCAAAGTTTACTCACATCTATCTACCGTTGTCAATGTTGAGTCCGTGGCGGGAAAATAGACACGAGAAGCAGCTGGAGTTCTCAGTTTCTTTTATTCAGCGTTCAGCTTACAGGAAGATGGCTTCAGCCTCGCCCAAACGCCTCGCAGCCTCTTATCTAGGCAACTCCCGGGTAAATGGGTTACTGTTCCCGCGCCAGCACCCGCGCATGCGCACGGCGCTGGCGACAGCCTGTCTGGTCCCGGCAGCTTTGCACCTGCCCGGGACTGCCTGCAAACGCCCGAGCCGTTTGCAAGGCTCGGGACATAACACCCCTTTCCCCCGGGCTAAAACTACTACCAACATACAACATTTATTTTATACAATTTGCTCCCCAGTGCTCCCACTGTTTACTGGCTTTTGCCTTGCCGGCAATGTTATGTAATCTTCTAGGTACTTAGGAGATTTCTTTGCTCTCTGTGACCTTCTTAGCTCTGGGTTACTGGCATAAGTCCCCTGACTGGAGGGAGGCGTGAGCCTGTTCTCTATATTGTGCCCTGGTGT